ACCCCTACATTTTCCCAATGGGAATTTTCCTAAGCCAGCTGACCAGAACACGTTACAATCCTAGTGAGAGGTATGCACACACCCCTCCAGGCACTTCATCCTCTTAGCCTGTATTTTAGGATTAGTAAAGTTGCCCTCAGGATCAAGTGTCATGTGCTGATATTCTGCCATTAATGACTGTAAGGAGCTGTGTTTTCGCCAGTTCCATAGGTCAACAGCTGACTATTGAGCAAGCTCAGGATGGCCTCTGTCACATCAGATTTCAGAATCATGGCGTCAGCCTCATGCTAGACTGATCTTTCGATGGGCACTTTCATCCACTGAGCAGCCATCCACGGAAGCAAAAGCTGTCCAAGCCTAGTGCCCACAGGCATTTTTCAGGGCAAAAAAATAAAAGGAAGAGGGCTGGGCTTTTTCTGCATATTTTTCTCTGCTTTCCTTTAATAGCTAATTGAAATTTAGACAATATGACAGTTCACAAATGGTACATTAAAAGGCAACTGCAAAGTTGCCAGAAGTCACAACTTACTTTTTTGCCATTTACTACACCAAAATTAAAGCAGTGCCCTGATCTACTATTAGAAGGGCCACCACCACAGTAATATTAATTTGAAGCTTGTCAGAATATTGCACTATACCAGCAGCACTTCCTATATGTAATAATGCAATTGTGCCATGGTATAACTATATCTACACATACTCAGGCACATGCTAGATATCAGAGGTGGTTTTGTTGATAGAGAATGTTTTATATTCAGAGGTGACATAAACTGCCCCAGAAACAAAAGGTGGAGGCTCTACAAAATGAGCCTCCACCAAGAGAACTGTCTGGCATACTTTCTCAGTCTAACTGCACTGCCAAATCCTTTCTAGCATTGATGAAGTCTTAGCATTGGCGGAACCGGAAGAAAAGAATTAGTGCAGAAAGTAACAACAATAAGCAATTGATGATCATTCACTCTCACACAGCTTGTTCAGTTGCTATTTAGAACTCTTGACAGCAAAAAATTACCTTGTACAAGGGACAGATGCCAAGTTCCTTTATTACATGAAGCAATGTTCAGGGATGGGGGGCTGTGAATGTCCTCTTCGTATACTTACCATCATAAGGCAAGACGGTTTAATTATGTTTTGTACAATGATGAAACAACTAAAGAGAAAGCTGAATGTAATCACCTCTGTATTAACCGAATTTGAAAGGTAAGCACCATATCCCCTAGTCAATGCAACAGCACCAATTATATTAATTTGTAAAATAATACAGGCAGATACAATACAATTTGAAATTTGTTAAGCAGCATCACATAGTCAACATTTTCAATTTGCAATAGGTTTGAAAAAATGAGTGACTACAACATGCATCACCTCTACTGAGGAAAAGTAAACAGTAAGTTTAGGATGTCACATAGTTGTAAAGAGCTTTTAATCTACTCACTGATGTAGAAATAAATAAACATGGCAATCGCTAAAGACGACAATGAATAGAGTGCCAATCTGTGACTAAAGGGATGATTTGGAAAAAATGGAGGTGGGGGTTGATCACCTATCACCTAATGTTCATTAATTTTTTGTCTTCAGTTCTATGAACTTTTCAAAATAGGTACAATAATGGCCTCCAACTTTCAGGCACAGAACCAGTCCAACCAGGCAGAGCAGTCACAGTAAAGTTATAAAAGGACAGGTCACTGTCACACAAACTACAGTTTTTACCTACTTTCAGAATGCATTTTATGCACAATACTTATTTTTTTAGTCTTTCAAAATAAACCATTTCTAGTTGCACCTTTGTAAGCCAAAAGCCCCCATCATCTAACACTTACCCTTTTAATCTATTAACTTTAATTACTATTCCAAGTCCTGACCAATAAAACTAAAACCCAGGCAGGGTAAATTTCTGCCTACTTTTCTTCAGGTGCCAAAAAAGCAAATCAACAAATTACAGGGAGCTTGTGACTTTCTAAATTTACCAATCTCCTGCTGCCCACATGTCTCAGCATTACCTAGTAAGTTTACAAGAAGACATGGATTTTAAGAGTACAAGCTAAATGTGCCCAGTAAATCTCAGGTACATGCTAAGTCAAAAAATGATGTGCTTATCTAACCTAGCTGGTGTTAGCTGATATTACTGCTAGGGCTGATTATACTATTCAAGACAATTTACAAAGTTGATGTGCATAAGTTATTATTAACAGGAAGTGCTGGAATTACAACACCAGGTACAGGAAAAGGTATTCACATAGATTAAATTTAGTTGAGTAAAGCTAATCCCCATCTCCAGCTCCTTCTGTGGTCTATGGAAATGTAAGCTGCCCTGGAAGGCATCTCAGAGCACAAGCTTAATTCAGGCTGAAGTTACAGGAGAGGCAGAGATCTGATTTAGTGTTTCTCAGTCACAACAAAAGGAAAGGACTCTCCTTTCACCTGCTCATCCTGGCCCTTTTTGAGCTGTCTCTGGTGTTTGCTGGGCACTTCACTGAACACAGTCAGTTGGCTAATGAACAAAAACTACTCAACAAAAAGAAAAATCATAGTTTTCAGATTATTTAATGAGCTGAACTGGCTCACAAAGAGATCAGGGAAGCATCAAAGCTGATGGGTGCAAGGGGTGAGCTGGGGTGGAGGGCAGATTTCTGAGACTTGCCTGTTCCTGCAGTGGGGAGCTGGTCCTTTGACTCAGGTCTGCTGGGTAAGGTCACCCTTGGTTGCTATGTAAATGGAGAGCTTTATTGATGGAAGTGGCTGTATTGGGTTTATGTGGTAAGGTTTTGGTAGCAGGGGGACTACAGGAGTGGCTTCTGTGAGAAGCTGCTGGAAGCTTCTTCTATATCTGACAGAGCCAATGGCAGCCAGTTCCAAGATGGACCTGCCACTGGCCGAGGTTGAGCCCATCAGTTATGGTGGTAGCACCTCTGGGATAACAAATTTAAGAAGGGAGAAAAGTTAGTGCACAAGAGCAATTGCAGCCAGAGAGAGGAGTGAGTATATGTGAGAGGAACAGCCCTGCAACCACTGAGGTCAGTGCAGGAGGGGAGGAGGTGCTCCAGGCACTGGAGCAGAGATTCCGCTGCAGCCCGTGGTGCAGCCCATGGTGAGGCAGGCTGTGCCCCTGCAGCCCATGGAGGTCCGTGGTGGAGCATATCTCCACCTGCAGCCTGGGGAGGACCCCAACTGGAGCAGGAGGATTCCCAAAAGAGGCTGTTACCCCGTGGGAAGCCTGTGCTGGAGCAGGGCAGTCCGTTCCTGAGGGACTGCACCCCATGGAAGGGACCACAGTGGAGCAGTTTGTGAAGAAAGTTTGTGTATGACTGTCTCCTGTGGGAGAGACCCCACACTGGAGCAGGGGAGGAGTGCAAGGACTCCTCCACCTGAGGAGGAAGGAGTGGCAGAGACAACATGCGATGAACACACAACCCTCATTCTCCATTCCCATGCACTGCTGGCAGGGGGAAGGAGGTAGAGAATTTGGGAGTAAAGTTAAGCCCATGAAGAAGGAGGGGTGAGGGGAAGGTGTTTTTAAGATACGGGTTTATTTCTCATTGTCCTACTCTGATCTGATTAGTAACAAATTAAATTATTTTACCCAAGTCAAGGCTGTTTTGCCTGTGACTGTAATTGATGAGTGATCTTTCCGCGTCCTTACCTCCACTCACAAGCCTTTCATGATATTTTCTCTCCATTGTCCAGTTGAGGAGGGGAGTGATAGAGCAGCTTTGGTGGGCACCTGGCTTCCAGCCAGGATCAGCCCATCACTGTGGCTTAAAAGAATCCCTACACACTCTGTAATTTCCCACCCCTGTTCTCATGCTGTTGTCACTGCCGTGGGGCTGGAAAAGAAACTGATAGAAACGATCTCCCTGAAAACAGGGATTTGCTTTTAAGCCAGTGCAATCACAGCAATACTGATAAGACAGCAGCAAACAGCGATGAGCAAACAGCGATGCAGAATTGGAAGCTGCCAACACAGGGCAAAAACATCACAAGCTGGCTTAGTTTCTAAGTCAGCATCTCTTACTATGCCCTAAATTGCTTCTGGAGCAATTCTGACTATGGTGGGGGGCTGAAAATGGCTTCCCCAAGCAAGAACTAGCATTTGGAGAAGCCTCCATTTATTCACTCCCTGTAATGGGAGGGGTACAAGTCATCTCCAGGCTTCTCGCTTAGCTGCAAGTCAGAAGGTCAAAGCTGGGAGTCTGTGTTCCATGCAGACAGCAGTACAAGCCTGTGGTGGGTGAGGGGTGCCTGGAGGAGGTGGCATGAGCAGTGAGAACATGAGCTACATCTTAAACTTTATTTAGGGCTGACTAGCAGAACTGAGGAACAGTTTCTGTGCCTTGTTTTCTTTGGTTAGAAGAGAGGGGTGCCAGTATCCAAAATAACGGTACTTAGATGGAGCCAGATAGCCAGAAAGCAACATCTTCTGATCCCTACTGGCTCGACCCAGCTTTGGAGCAATGAGTTTGCACTGAAATCCTCCAGGTCACATTACTGAATTCCAACCATGAGGAATTTTACTGGCTCTTCTTTTAGTATATGGTATTGGTGTGTGCTAAAGGAAACAATAGTTCCTCACAGTTACTAAAAAGAATCATAGAAATTATAAGTGGGCACCTGTTAAAGCAAATAAAATGTATTTGTCACAGTCATTCTAAATCTCATGGCTCACTTTGCCTACAGCATTAGCAGTTCTAGCTTAACAGTTGGACTTGTTGTTTTTAAAGGTCTTTTCCAATCTAAATGATTCCATGATTACAAACCAAAGTGGGAGCTTAATTGGTTGAGTAATTAGGTTATGGTTTATTGTTTGAAGGACAAGATTCAAAATGTGTCCATGGATGTCTTACCTGATCGTTGTGTATCACCCTCTAGGTCCACTACTGGAAAATGTAACCCCGTTGGCTTCATGTGGGACTTGCGTCTGTCCTCATTCTCAGCAATGGTATTTTTTAGCCTGCAAAACCCTCTAGCCACAAGAGCAGATTAGCAAACACAAGGGGCACTCTGGACTCACAGCATAGCCCTTTTTCTCAGCATGCCACCGTCCGTGATTTTAAAGGCAATGAATTTTATTTTCAGATTCTGAAAACTCCTTCTTTTGAAATACGGAAAATCTCTCAGTAAGATCAACCTGGCATAGATACTTGCATACCTTCATGACCAAGCCCACCAGGCTGACAGAGAGTGCTAAGCAACCGTGCCTTCTTCAGGGAGCAGCTCCTGCGCTGCTGCCACTTGTCACCTCTCAGGACATACACTGCTCAGGTGAAAGAAGCCGTGACTGAGGACACTCCAGGAGTCTCCCCAGCATTCAGATACACAATGACACACTGCATCTGCCCACAGTTCTCTCTCCACTCCCCATAAAGCCAACACCATCAAGGGTAGGATGTTCCCCCACATCACCTTGTTGCTTTCTGTCAACTTCCATCAACAAATCTCTGCCACCATGAGTCCCCAGTGGGTTCAGTGTGAAGTGTCTCTCTCCTAGCCTTCATAGGGGACTTGGCTGCAGGGATGAAGCCAAACATTCCTCAGTACCAGGAAACATGTTAAATAATGCTCACTGGAAGCTCAGTTGTGTTCACAGTATTTCCACAAAGCTTGCTCTGTGAACTGCAGAGCAGTATGGGTCCAGAGTGCAGTGTGGCAAAGGTGAGTTAAGATATCAGTGGATTCTTTCCAAATAGGAGAGAGGTCGATCCTTGACCCTTAACTTCAGCAGTCCAATCCAAAGGCAGTGGCTGGAAGCCAGTGGCTGTACTAGAGAGAATGGGCAGAAGTTTGTTTTTGTTAAACAGGCAAAAATGCATTTGATCTGTCTTCAGAATTACAGTAATATCTAACAAGGTAAACTGTAGGATCATGTAAGTGAGTGGGTAGGTGGAAGGGAGTGGGAGAGATAAATACGTTCTTTGGCAAAATTCAGCAAGCAACGTCCAGACGTGGGGAATTTAGATAGTATAATATCTTCTCCAAGCACAAGGTGCATACAAGGAAACCTGGAATCGACTCCTAAAGAGGCAGTAAGTCCTGCAGTTGCAGAACTACTTCAGAAGCCATTAAAGAGATATGTGTGTTTCTATGTGAAGCACTATTGAAAAACTCACGATAACATGATACAATATACTATACAGTACTCCTATAAAAATCTTTGTACCAAAATAAATTGTGGTGGCACATGCCACCCTTCAGGCAGACATGCTACAGTATGTGATTACAGGGGGTGATTGCACTAATGTGAAAAACTCTTCAGCATAAACATGTCCTTGCACTTAGAGGTGTTAGGGTGACAAAGCCATAGTCACTTCTTCAGACATAAAATCCATACATAAAAATCTTAGGACTACTACATTTTCTGAGAAATGCAGTAGTTCTACCAGTTCAGAGAAAATAAACTGTCCTTGCTGTACGGAAATTCATTTATTGATAAAAATCATTGTCTGTATGTCATACTAACTTTTGATTCTATGTAACTTTGCTTGCATTTGAAACACACTGGCTGAACGGTTCTTGTGGAAGACAGACTTCTATTTGTTCATGAATGGTGTACGAACTGGATCATAACAGAGTAGAAAATGTTTCAAAATATTTCTCAAATAATTTAAAGATGAAATTAGAAAGGATTTTTGACAAAAAATTCTTTAGGATGTTCCTTCCTTTTTTATTTTTAAGATTATATTTCACCAAGATAAGCAGAACAGAGAACTTTCCCAACAGTTACACTGTACAGTGGGGGGAAGAGGGAACCATGGTGCAAGGATATAAGAGTCACTGAGGACATGGGATGGAGGGAAGGTTCTTCGCCAGAGCCACATGTGAATATCATGTAAGCATGGTGTTGTCCCATTTCTGACTTATCACTTTATTTAGGAGCCGATGTTTCTCCTCAACTTTTTAATGAGCCAGAGCTCTCAATGCAGTTTTGTTGTTACAAACTTAGTGCTATTACTTACCTCACTGCAAAATTTTATAATCATTTTCCCCCTGACATTAAAGAAGTTTATTAATCAAGATCATCACATTTCATTCCTTTTGCAAGATAGTCCCAAACACTGGAACACAGACCCCACTCCACTGTGATGCTAGTTTACAGGAAGAAGCCCCATTTGTTCACGTGCCGTGGCTCCCAGTTACACTTTCTTGTTCAGCTTCTGCATGTCTGTGCAAGCAGCCAGAGATTGCAAGCATCTACATACGCAAGTACCCTGAAATAGAGGGCAAATCAAGATTACTTTCAAAAATGCAGGCTATTATGACAAGTTAATAAGAAAGTTTCATTTAAAGATTTCCATCCTCTTACCTTTCCCACCAACACTTGGGAACTTCAACTGCAGGTGATCACTGCGCAAACTTGTGCACACACACGAGATGCTTTTGTTTTTTGTTTTTATCAACTACATTATAAAGCACTTAACTACTGAATGTGTTATCTATATAACATTGTATAATCTTTAAGCAAAGATTAAACAGAAATTAGGCCCATTGCCAAAAATAAGAAACTATTCCTTCAAATAAAACTGGGGTAAAAGAAGCTTTCAACTGCCACTCCAAGGTAATTTTTGTTTATTGTGTGATGAAAAATCCACATGAACAAGCACAGAATTTAAATATAGGAGGACCAGAATTTTAATTCAGCATCTGCCATCATTGTGTGCATTAGCACTTCTTCATTTCCAGGGGATGAATTCAGTTCTCTACATTTTGCAAAGCTGGACAACTAATTCTTCTTTCTCCCTTAGAGCCATGTGAAATAACACTTGGAGAATACCCATCCTGCAGTCTGATGACCTGATCTACCAGCTCTAACAAAGTGACAGAAAGCCATCCTTTACCTTATGTGCTCCTGCCACCAGGCTTACATCCCATGTTCTTGTGCTAATGGGTTCCTTCCCTTCCTAGGTTACATCTGTCATGACGTCTACTACCATAGGACTACAGACATCACTAGACCCTGGCTGTCAGAGCATCAATATTTTGCTGTTGGAAAGAGTTCCATCAGTAGAGCTCTCAGTTTCCAATCAGGTTTAATTTTGGGGAAAAAAGAAACAGAATGGAAACCATATCTACTTTCATGTGTTTTGGGAATATGATGGAACAGATACAACTAGTGAAGTATCTTGACTTATCTGATTATACACTTTGTATATAAGCAAAAAGTTAAACCTGATTAACATGTACACACAAAAGCTATGTTGTAATAGTATGAAGGTTACCAGGCAAATTTATTTAGACTGTGTCCCTTAACATGAGGGTTTGTTTTTCCGGAAAACTGCGCTTCATCAAAAATGCCAACATTGCCAAACTAGAGCTGAACTTTGAAACTGTGACCTGTCACCAGGAGACTTCTCCTGTGACTTTAGGGAGATCTTTTCACCTCTCTGTGCCTCAATCCTCTGTTGTCTGAAACAATAAATAAGTAAATAACAAAAAGCAGGAAGAGGGAATAATCTTCAGCCATCCTGCAATTGCCTGGTCTATTTAGATCAGAAGGGCTTCAGGGAGGGGATTAAGTACCCTGTGCTTTTAACATGGTGAGCAAATCAAAGGCTGATCTGAACAAGGGCCTAGGAGAGCTGTTGTGGCATGTGGTAAATGGTCCAGTCTGCCTTTAAAAGCTTTAAGATTCTTGCAAATAGGAAAGTGGCATTTCCTTCTCAATTCCAAATACTATCATGGTAACTGATTGTTGAACGTGCATAAGGACAGAGAAGGATCCTGTCCAAAGAAGACATTATGCAGAGGTGAGTGCTCCTCACAACAGGCACTGGCAGGACAAGCATGGCTCCTTGGTTCTGTTTCAGAAATGAAAAAACCTTGCTCTGATCCTTCCCCACCCTCTCCTGTACCTTTCCTTCTCCCTTCCCTCTTCATTTTCTTGAAGTTCAACTGCGCATGTTTCCTTTGTGATTATACAGGATAGATTTTCTTACTCTTGCATTTTACTGTGATTATTATTTACCTCCAGCTCCCATTTCAGCTGCAGTTACCGAAGTCTTGAATCTATTTTCTTACAGCAAGCTTCTACCTGAAGTGTCATGTGGATGGCTTAAGTCATTTCTTTCCCTCCAGGGAACCCTTTGCAATGTCAAACAATGTAAAGAAGAGAAGTAGGCCATGGTTAAGTAGTTACTTAAAAGCAGGCCTCACCCTTTCCTCACCACTCATGCTCGCCACTTCTCCCCGCACTGGCACCAGTGTTTGTTTGGCTGCTTGGCGAGCCAGAGGGAATTAGTCCAGTTACTAATGTGGCAAAATACCTGGCAAAAAACATAATAAAATCAATGCAACCTTAAACTGGCCAGAACAACAAAAGGTAGCCATAGCCTTAGACAAGCAGCGCTCAGCGCTCTGCCTAGTTATGTTTAACCCAGTGACTTATCTGGGACGACTGAAATCTACTGTTCCCTCTTGTGAGAGGTGATGTGTGATGAGGAACCTAAAGTTTTCTTTTATTTCCCAGTGAAACTAACTATATACAATCCAGAGTTTTGCCTCTACTTTCTTCCTTTAAAGCTAGAAACGTTACAGCATAAAGGAGAAAATATGCTTCGATACTGCTCCATTTCGCATGTGTTGGTCCTACGGGAATTTTGACAAATCACTCCTGGAGATATTAAAGAGCCATCTTGGCACAATCCTGAACAATGTGCTGCAGGTGACCCCGCCTGAGCAGGGAGGTTGGACTAGATGGCCTCCAGTGTTCTTTCGCTGCTTCCGCCATTCTGCGATTATTCTGTGCCCAGCAACAGTGGCAAATTGCATACTCAAGTTTTCAGTTTTGCCTGTTCCATAGGTCAGAGGAAAAGCGTGTCCTATCATGTGATTTTTACTGTTACTTTCAGTGATGGATGTGCTTATTACTTTAACAAGGCACAAAATCCCATTCATGCTCCAGGGTCTCATTCCACGGGTCCTACATACTCCCGTTTCAAAGCGAGGCTGTCCCGGGAGACGGAGGGACACTCGGTGTGATCTGGCGAGGCCCGAAACACAGGGAGGGGTAGGAGGAGCGGTTGTGGCCGTGCATCAGGTTACATGCCTCGCTCCTGCCAGCGCCGTTTGCGTGACCGCAGGCGTGCCATTAACGCTTCGGGATTTGTTCCACCACAAAACGAAATTCAGCCGAAGTCAGCTGCAGGGCAAAAAGCAGAGAGCGTGCAAATCAGATACCTCCAATCTGAGTAACTTTGCCCGCGAACAAAATCGCGTAAAATGCCTTATTTTTGCGCAACTGCTGGCTTGCAGGGATTCCTCTGGACGTTCCTTCTGGCCAAGTCTGCGGCCAGAAGGCCAGGGCTAAGGCTTGCACCTCGTCAGCTAATTGGGAAGGTAAACTCGGTGAGACCACGGCTCTCTTGTGGCTCCCGCCGAGGAGCAACGCCCCCCTCACACCTAACTGCACCAACTCCTACCACTGAGCCAGGCCCCGCCAAGCCTCCCCGCCAGGCCCGCACACAGCGGCGGGCAGGCGCTTCCATCCCCCGTCAGGCGGCCCTGCAGCAGCACACGACGAAGTAATACACAGCCACGCTAGCCCACTCCGCCTCAGAACTGTCACACAGTCCCGCAGCGGGAGCGGGGCGGGGCGGCGGCACCCTTGAGCCTTCGTCCTTGGCGGGGATTTGAGCGCGGAGGCCACCGCCTCCCCAGTGGCGCCGGGGAGGGCGGTGCGGAGGGCGGTGCGGTCGGGTCGGCCCTGCCCGCAGGACCGTCCCCGCTGCTGCAGAGCCCTCATTGCCCGAGCGCCCGGGAGTAGGGGTGGTGTTACTTTCGTCTCTCTCCGTTCTGAGCATTCCGGGTGGGTATGGGAAGAGCGGAGCTAGCGGGATCCCCTCCCCGCGATGGGGGATGCTGGAGGGTTGCCCAGGCCATCTCCGGGTGGCTCGGTCCCGCAGTGGCCGGGTGATTTCCCCCTCCCCGGGGCCGAGCATCCGTGCGCGGCGCCTGGATGGCGTGGGGGGCTGCGGGCGCCGTGGCCGGTCCCTGCCTCGGTGGGGGTCCGGTGGCCGGGATCGGGCTGTGGCTTCTGCTGGTTTGGGTGGGATGGCGGCAGCCGGCTGTGCGCAGGCAGCCCCGGGGTGACCGCGTGTGCCAGCTTCTCGCCGGCCTACGGTCTGGCGGGGCGAGGGCTGCACCCAGCCTGGCCTGCACAGGATAGAAGGAGAGGGAGAGGTGTACGGGAAGGGGGCGATGTATGGGAAGGTCGGAGGCACCGCGCAGGGCTCCGTGCGTTCCCCGCGGGGAGGCTCGGGGCCGAATGCGAGCGAGCCGGGGAAATCCCCGCAGGCTTTATGCTCCCGGACTGGTTGGGGGTTTTAGTACTAGTCCCGCAGCCCTGATGGGCGTTCTGAAGGGAGGTGAATACCACAGAGGCGTTAAAGCAGAAGGAGTTTTTGTCCTCTGCGGGGAGGCCCTGGGGAGCAGCCAGCAAAAAGATACTGCATTACGTGCTGCCAAAACAGCCCCTGCCCCACTTCAGCCTCTCTGTGGGCAGCGGAGAATGCAGGGAGGGATGGGAGCCAGAGCCCTGTGTCTCAGGAGGGCTGGGTGGGCTGGTGTCTCGTGGGGCGAAGGAGCTCCGCACAAGGGCAGCGTGCCCCTGTGCTGCCGTACCGTACCGCAAACCAGTGTCGGCACCGCAGCGACTCCCAGCACTTCCATCGGCAAGTTTCCGGCAGTGGCGGTTGATCTCTTCAATTCAGAGCACGTGTTCTGGTTTCCTGTGGCTTGCTTTGACCCGGATCGCTCTGTCCTTGCAGAAAACCATGGCTACTCTCAAGGAGAAGCTGATTACCCCCATCGCTGCGGGATCCGTAGTCCCGAACAACAAGATAACTGTTGTGGGGGTTGGACAGGTTGGGATGGCCTGTGCTATCAGCATCCTGGGAAAGGTATGGCTCAAGGACAACGTGCTATTCAAGTTCCCCCTGCTGTAATGTTATGTGCTGCTTGTTTGTCTTAGCAGATGGTGGGAAATTCGGTAGGTTAGTGCAGGATTGAATCATTTGCAATTCGTGTAAGCAAGCAGTGACCTACGCTGTTCATGCAAGGCTGACTTCATTCAGTTTCTCCTTATTCTCTCACCTTTCCATCTGTGCTTAGCTATAAATTTCTCATTACGCAGAGTTATTTAGCAGGCTGCTGGCAAAATACAGTAAGCAATGGCTCTGAAGCCCCTGCCAAACTTTTGTTTCTTTTTAAAACTTTCTTGTTCTTCCACAGCAAAGCTGGGGTTTGCTTGGTGGGAGAGCTCTGCTGTGCAAAGAATGGAGACAGTGCGGAAATTAATGTGACGTATGGGATAGGAGTCAGAACTATGCATGTTTTGATTTGTGTTCTTTTAATATGCTTGTGCAATAATAACTGAAAATACTGCTATTCCATTTCGTAGGCTTTTTTTATTTCTCTTAAACCCTTACTTCTTATTTATATGATTTCATTGTTACCAGGGAGGTTTAGGTAGTTTTCCAAAACCTAAAAATAGAGGGATGAATTTAGAGGCTATTCTGACTTTTCCTGTTTTTTTTCCTGGTTTTTGGGGGTGGTTTTTGGCAGATTTTATGTTGCAGTCTTTGGGCAAAGCAAAGGCTTATGCAATAAGGATCTCTTGTTCTTTGCATTTTGTTTCTAAAGAATATTGTGAACGAGTTAAATTTGATTCTTACTCTGTTTTTGAAAAGATAAATGGGAGCTGCAGATCTCTTCTTAAGAGAAGGAATAAACAGATATGCCGTACTCACTTGCAGGAGAAGATCTTAAATTGGGTAGCACACAATGAGATCAAAAATCTTCCATATATCTCTAAACCAACTGTATTTTATTTGGAGATCCTCCTTCTTCTACCTATTATCCTGAGGATGCATGTTTTACAGTACTGGCTTTTGAATAATTAATTTTTTTTAAGGGTTTTCATTTGCTGATATTCATGAGCCTTGTTAGCAAGGAGAAACTGACAGTAAGAAAAGGTCACAGTGAAACTAAGTACTGATGTGAAAGTAAAAAGTAGTTCTTAAAACTCTGTAACTAAAGGAGAAATTAAATTGAAAACCAGTGGCAGTTCATGGTGGGTTTTTTGTTTGAAGCAAATATTAAGCTCTTGTGGTCTGAACTCGTTTGTTTTTGAAGGAGTACTGTAAGTGTAAGCTTGGCAGTGAGTGAGGGAAGTGAAGTTACCGCAAACTCCACTACAATCCATCACTTATCTGTGTTTAATGTGATGCTCTAAGCAGGAGCAAACTGTGTTTCAGAAATATAGGCACAGTTAATGAGTTTTATGTACCAAACTCAGAGTAAAAACGCTTAGATTTATTTTTTAATTTTTCAAGCTTGGATTATGGCTTGATGGGGTTTATTTCAACCAGGCTTGTGCTTTCTCTTATTCTTTTACAAGTATAAGCTGCAGTATAAAACAGTTTTGTAACAAAGCCATCTGATTCTTGTCACTGAATTAGAATCATAAAATCATGTGGATTGGAGAAGACCTTTAAAATTTAATCCGAATGTTAACCTAGCACCATCAAATCCCCTGCTAAACTATGTCCCTAAGCACCACATCTGCATATCTTTAAAATACCCCCAGGGAATGGGGACTCAACCACTTCCCTGGGCAGTGTGTTCCAATGCCAGACTACTCTTTCAGTGAAAAAAGTTTTCCTAATATCCAGTCTAAACCTCCCTTGGTGCAACTTAACGCCATTTCCTCTTGTCCTATTACTTGTTACCTGGGAGAAGAGACCAACACACACCTCGCTACAACTTCCTTTCAGGTAGTTGTAGAGAATGGTAACAATCCCAGTTCCCTCAGCTGCTCCTTATAAGACTTCTACTCCAAACCTTGCAGCTTTGCCCTTCTGTGGGCATGCTCCCGCACCTCAATGTCTTACAGGCAGGGACCCAGAACTGAACACGGGATTCAAGGTGCAGCCTCACTAGTGCCACGTACAGGGGGATGATCTCTACCTTGTCCCTGCTGGTCACACTATTTCCGATATCTGCCAAGATGCTGTTGGTCTTCTTGGCTGCCTGGGCACATTGCTGGCTCATATTCAGCTGGATGTTGACCAATACAAAGTGGCTTTGACTACTGCAAGATGGTTGGCTCCCCAGGATGTTTTATTTTGTCAAACCGTGGCATAAAATTTTATAGTTAAATTTTCTGTAGTTTAATATGTGGATGCAGTTGAGGTTTAGATGGTTTTGAATTTTATAAAATCGGTGTGATAATGCTAATTTCAGTTTACTGGTATAGTATTGAATATATAAATTTGAATGCCCCTACTACTATTTTTAGGTCCCTCTCAGAGATGAGTCACTGATGTTGCCATGGTGTTTGCAAAATGGAAACACCTCCACAGTTGCAAGTCAGCTATTTTCAATAAGAATATTTTAAGTTGCACTTGGTGACTGTGTAGGCTTTATCCTGTGTGTACTTATAATGAGCTGAATTCTAGGCAATGCTGATGCAAATTCATTAATTTAGTCACTGGAGCTATTCCAGGTGCTTCTGTTTCAGTGGCAACTGGCTTCTTGAACCTGCTGAGTCTGGGGAATGTTGCCTGCAAGGTCTAGACTAAAATCCCATATTGTCAGACAGTGTATATTGTGTATATAAATCTAGCCATAATTGCACATGTGCAAATATTATTTTTTCAAATTCTGATTACAGTAACTTAGTTTAACACCAGTGATTTCAGTTAAGGATACTTTTTCACCATGATTAAATAACTTAGACTTTAATTTTACCCTGCAGACTGTTTTGAGGACAGAGCCAGTGCAGATAAAGATTCTTATGTTTTTTCTTCTGAAGTTGATCAAATCAGCTGTGAAAGGAAGCAATGCAGAAAAGCAATAAACTGTAACATTATTTTAAAATATAAAATGAAAAAAACCTAAATATGCCTGTTCAATATATTTTTCCGCAGGAAAACCAGTGAATATTGTTGTGTGTTTAAAGTAATTTACTTGATGCTAATAATTAATATTTCCATGTGAAGTAATGAGCGTTACCTTTTATATAAAGGTAAACAAAGAAAGTTTCTTGCAGTATATTTTTCAGGGACATAAAAATGGCTTAACTGCTTTCAAATGGGGTATAGATACATCGGAAAATAGAAGTAGTAATTTGAATCTTGGTATCATTTACTAAATTATAAGCCTTTATGTATAGTAGAATTTACAAGGGTAGTAAATGCTTCTGTCAAAAGGCAGTAAAAGTTTGCATTAGAGCAGAGCCCCTGCTATTCCCATGTTCTGAAACTATATGAAGTTATCTCCCAACTTAACCTGGCTGGACAGCAAACATGCATGTCTGTTTGCAAAGTAAATGATGTAGTAGCTGTAGTAGACAAGAATTAGGTAAAGAATGTTCTCTCTTGACGTTACTTTTAGTGTTGAGGAAAATAAGTCTGTGACCATTCTGTATTTTTGTGAAATGAGCTGCTTGAAGGAATGTTATAAGAGAATACTTGCTTGATAATTGACTGCTGGATAGATTTAGAAGGTTTGTTACAACTCTGAAAGATACAACTTTTTTTCCTAAGATACTAACTAAATCATGAAGTACCTTGCTGTCAAAAGGTTAGCTGTGCACTCAAACTCCCCACAAGTAATGTCCTTATTGGAAAACTCCAAGTTTTATGAACCTGTTCTGTAGTAGTCTCTGACTTTGTTACTGTGAGAACTGTACATCAGAGCACCAAGATACTGTTGTCCTACTGGTTTACCTTCGGAGAGGAGAGACTTTCAGATCGGTAACGTGTTACTTTAAAATGTAATATGGCTCAACTCAGAAGTAATTTTAAAATGCAAGTTAAATGCTTCATTGACTCCTTGAAATCTTGTTGTTTTGAGGACCTTTGTGATGAGCTTGCTCTGGTTGATGTTTTGGAAGACAAACTTAAAGGAGAAATGATGGATCTACAGCACGGAAGCTTGTTCCTTCACACTCATAAGATTGTGGCAGACAAAGGTGAACCTTAGTTTCTTTTAATTTAATATTGATACTCTGAGAGTTTTCTTAATAATGGAGCATTAGTTGTGTAATCCTAAAGAAGTCTAAAGATTTGGCATTGAGAAGTTAAAGTGTATGAAGTGGGGTGAGAATTCAGATGAACACGGTAACAATGGGATTGGCTTTTCATCTGGGTTTTCTCTTACATCTCTAATAGCCACTTTACAATTTTGGGCTTGCTGAGTAAAGTTGATTTTAATTTAACTCTAGTACCTCTTTGTAGAAGAAATAGTATTGTTATTTGGGTAGTGGAAATGAGATTCAGAGGGGTTGAATGTGCTTTCAAGACCCACATACTCATATATTGGGACAATATTAATAGATGGTGCTGGTTATGGAGTTTGAACGTATGCACAATGGAGCATAAGACATGTATGAACACAACACTATTGAAATAGGTGATAAGTCTATTTAACACATTGTATTGTAGACTACGCTGTCACAGCCAACTCCAAGATTGTGGTAGTAACTGCAGGAGTTCGTCAGCAAGAGGGGGAGAGCCGTCTCAACCTGGTTCAGAGAAATGTGAATGTCTTCAAATTCATCATTCCTCAGATTATCAAATACAGCCCCAACTGTACCATTCTGGTAGTTTCCAACCCCGGTAAGGCAGTCCTTTCCTAAAACACAAATTCTGTTTGTTGGAGAACTAGTGTTTTATTTTTTCAGTCTTCTCAAATGAAAATTGAATGTCAGAAATTAATAGCTTTGTGTGCACATCTGCCATGTGGTTGCTAACACCAGCGTACAAACAAATATTCTGTACTTTTGATGCCCTCTTTATTCAGAACTTCTCATGGTATCCATATTTCCAAAGTATGCTTCAGGGTAAATACTTCAGTTCTTTACCTACTTTTAAGCTGTAGGTACTTTAAAATTTTTATCTCTAAAGAGAACATCCACTTTGCTTTTAAACTCTTTGTAAATCATAACTTTATTTTGTGTCTGGGTATGATATGGCCATTTTTCATGATGAAGAACTGACCATATAGTCTTGGCTATATTTACAGAAAAAATAATTTGCATGCTGAAACTTATGGTGGGGAAAAGAGTAACTGTACTGCATAGTTCAGTTAGATTAGAAAAGATGTAGTTATTACACATTGTGTACTCGCTTGGAAGCATGCTGTTGCACTGGGACAGCTTGGGTATTTGAATTATCTAAATCCAACTCTGACCATTCTGATATGCTTTGTGGATTGTCTTGCTTAATCCAATGTCTGAGTGATGCCGTTACTACAGAACCATGGCAATGAAGTGATACTGCTTTTAAAGATAGCTTTGCAGAGTCAAAACAGTGCACATAAAGCTAGCAGCTCAGCCGGTGGCTGAGTAATTAGCTGGTGTACAATTACTACTGCTGAATACTAGTGTACTGTGCAAGTACAATAATTTATGGCAATTCTAAGCACTTCTCTGAAAATTGAACTGAACCAAAGATCAAATTGTTCTTGTTCTAGCAAGGTTGAATTCAAACTATAGACTTCAGGATGGCAGCTGCAGGAGGAGAATTATATGTTGTAATTTTTCAAAACTACTTTTATACTTTGTGTTCTCAAGATGAATGTAGTTTTGTCCACTTGTCTTATGTAGTGGAGGTTACTGTGAGTCCTTTAGAAGGGACTTCAGATGTGTCTGCTGTATGTGTGTTGGTATGTGACCTTGATATCCTACCATTTTTAACTTCCTTGATCTGTCTGGGTTCTACCTCAAATAGCACTGTCTGCAGCCTGTCCTGTGGAAAGCCCAACAGTAGGCCAATAATGAAATTAGAAAGCAGTCCTCAAAGTCTGGATGTGTGTCTCAGCACCTGACTTGAAAGCCAGACTGTCTGCAGCAGCTGCTTGATAGCTGTTGGCTCTGCAGTCTGTACAGGTCACTGATCCTGGCAGGAGCTCCCCCATATGAAGCTGTAAGGAAGCTGTGCCTGGTGAGCATGCTGCTTGCAACAGCAAGGTGTAAACTGTACTGAGATAATGTGCTTTTGATGCCTGAGCAGAACAAATTGGCAGTGCTGGGGAATGGTTTGACTTGATGATCTTAAAGGTCCTTTCCAACTTGGCTGATTCTCTGACTCTGTATTTCAGATCTGTGTACAGAAATACATTTCCTTCTGAGCACTGGCTGGCTTTTGGGAGTTTGGGCCATAATTATTGCAGTCTGTTTATTATTCTTGCTCTGACATGTGATGTAGAGTTCTCTCTGTCCTCACATCCCTTTCTCTGTTTGCCCAAACCTAGATTTGTTGTTGGTTTTGCTTTTGAGGTTTTTGGTGGGTTTTTTGTTTTGTTTTGTGGGGTTTTTTTTTTTTTTGTTTGTGTGGTTTGGGGGGGTTTGTTTGTTTGTTTGTTTGTTTGTTTTTCCTAAAACTTTTTTTAGGACCACATGCAGGTAAGTGTGTTGCTTATCTGGCTTTTCATGCAACAGAGGTAGTCACTGCAGAAACTGTTTAATGCACAGATCTGTTCAAGAAATTACATTGAAGTAGTTACATACTCTTTTCTAGTTGCTAAATCTCAACCATTTTTCATTGTACGTTTCCTCTTATTGTGATGATGAAGTGGAAGGTAACATTATGTCAGGAAATTGCTTGAATGTTTTAACCATATGAGTTCAGCCCCAGTACTGGAAGCCCTATGGGTATTGCTGTGACAAAAAATGTTCCTCAAACTTTAGCTGGAAGGAAACTAATCTCTAAAGATCTTCCTCAGTTTTCTCTGAGAAGTAGTTTGATGGTCCTAAATTTTGAGCGGTGCATTCATTTTAATCTGCAAATAGTTAGACCTACAGTATTTTGAGTAATGAGCGCAGCTGTTCTGAGTCCTCCTGATTGCACTGTTACTTGCAGTGAGGCAATTGTTGGAACATTCTCAGTATATGCAAATGGTTTCATTTACTGTGCATGTTTTTCTTTTCAGTGGATATATTGACCTATGTCACCTGGAAGCTGAGTGGCCTGCCAAAACACCGTGTGATTGGAAGTGGCTGCAATCTAGACACAGCCAGATTTCGCTATCTGATGGCCGAGAGACTTGGCATACACCCAACCAGTTGCCATGGCTGGATCTTGGGAGAACATGGTGATTCTAGTGGTAAGGAGCATTCCTGACACACCTCCTTGGGAATAAGCACCTCTAACGATGTTAGAGGCCTAAGAGGTGTTAAAATATTCTGAAAGAACAGATGCAGCTGCGCCAAAGTAACTACCACTTTCCTGTATTCTCATGAAGATTAGAGTTAAGACTAGTTCAGGAAGTTCAGCTACATGCTTTAATAAAAATGATTGTGAGTGCATGATTAAACCCTAAACGGAAAACGCCAATTTTGTTAAAGTTTATTCTGGTTTTAGGGTATCATAATGTAGCCTGTAGCACAGTTCTCTTCTGAAAGCAATATTAGCTCTTATTAGGTCAATGGCAGGGCTTGTTGCAAGTAGTAGAAAAAGATATCAATTCAGATTCAGGCTAACAAAGTTATCCCTTTTTTGTGACTTTTCTGTGTGCTATTTAAAAGGTAAGATGTCTTTTAAAACCACATGAAATAAAAGCAGCTTATTTGTCTTAATTCAGTTCATGTATTTCGAGTCTGAAATGATGCAGCGGAACATCTATGTAGATTGGTACTGCTTTAAATTTTAGTGCTGTGTATTTCTAAGGGAGCCATCTCTTCAGTGTTCCACCACATGTGATCAAAGTGCAGTGTTCTGTCTGATCAACAACAGTATTTACTGAAGCCAGCCCTACACTGTAACAAAAGCAGAGCTTGGATAAGCATACACAGAGCTCATCTTACTTCAGTGTCATAGCTGTTTTTGCTTTGAAGTAACCAAGAGTTCATACCTCACAGGAACAGAGGAAATGAATCTGCCTGTAAGCCGCCAAAATGAATGGATATGTTAAGTTTGCATATTGTTATCCTGTTATTTGGGAAAATAGGGTTAGCCTTCAAGAATTTTAATACTGATTAGAGGGACAGCAAATACATACTTGCTGCAATTTTTGAGTAAAATTAGCTTTAAAAGTTTGAACAGCTAAGATGTGCCTCTTTGCTAGAATTTGAGGTTTTTGACTTCAAAAGTAGTTATCTGCACCTTCCAAGGACTGAAAGTTCTGTTGTTCATGTATTGTAATGGACTCATTAAAGTGTCAGCACTAAATATCTGTCCCTCAGAGTTCTTGGAACTAACTGAGGTTAAGTGAAAATTTGAAATCTGCTTCAAACATTATTGTGTTTCTGACTACTACTTTTGTTTCCAGTTATCTTAGGGCGATAGAAAAAGTGGAGGGGGGAAGTTGCTAGTTACTATGGAAACTTATGTCCTCTTTCTGTTGCAGTGGCTGTTTGGAGTGGAGTTAACGTGGCAGGCGTTTCGCTCCAGGAGCTGAATCCTGCCATGGGAACTGACAAAGATAGTGAGAACTGGAAGGAGGTCCACAAGCAAGTAGTTGAAAGGTACAGTGGCTTGAGGAGTAAGGTGGATATATATACGATGCTGAAAATAGCTAGTCTGCACTCTGCCTCCTTGTCAGTGCCTCTCCGTTCTGCTTCAGCTTTCATGCCTTTTTCTTTAGAGGATTGTGTGAGTAAGTGGAACTACTGGTTTAAACACAGAAATGCAGGATCTTGGTAGGCTTTATTATCCTGCAGCAAGGCAAGCTACTGTGTAACATACCCACTTTAGTACTGCACTGCTTAGCTTTGTGTGCACTTGTAGCTCTCTCACAAGTGGCTTCTTAAATGGTTAACTTCAAATAAAGGGCACAAGACTAGGGAAAGTAGTATGTTTCTGTGAGCACAGTGTTGGAGTTAATTTGGGGAAAATTTTTGTTCATTTTATTTAGGAAAACTTGTCTAGAGGTAACTATATATGTTGCTAAATCACTTGTCTTGCTTGTGAAATAAAGACTATACTGCTAAATAGTGTACACAGATGTTGGTTAAAAAATTAGGATGTATGTAGGTAGTGAATGGCTTTGACTTTTAAATATTTACCTATTTCAGATGGTCTCTGTTCAAGTCAGTGGCACAATCATTCTGAGAAGTTGTTCAGTTGTAGGTACCTGTTTTTCTACTTGACACTAAGAACTGTTCATAGATGGAAGCTATTTTTCATTTCAGCTAATCCAGTGAGAACAATGTGGCTTCTTTATTATACATATGGGATAATGTAGACTTCATGCTTTATCCTCAAATGCTGAAAAGTGTAACTGTCCTACATTTTAACTCCAAAACTTACAGCATGTCACAGAAGTTCCAGATTTTCTTTAGTAGGAAAACATTACTCTTAAGACTTCCAATTAACACAGTGTCTTGAAGACATTATAATGCAACTGTATTTCAATATTTCCTTAGTGCCTATGAGGTAATCAGACTTAAGGGATACACAAACTGGGCCATTGGCCTTAGTGTTGCTGAGCTCTGCGAGACCATGCTGAAGAACTTGTGCCGTGTTCACTCAGTCTCAACACTGGTAAAGGTAAGAAGTGTTGGCTAATTTGATGTTCTAGTTCATTTTGTTGTCATGGAAAAGCTAAATAGTCTCAATTAGCAAGGTGCTGAACAAAGATAGCTTTGTAAAATACTACTTTGAATTTAAAATGGGAGCTTGCTGTTGCAAGTTTTTTCTAGTCTGACCTTGTCACAAGCATGGAGCTGAAAATAAGTTCTCTGTACTCTACCCAATGTTGTACTACCCTTGTGTCAAGTTTGCCATGTGTGGCATGCAGGTTCATTAAAAGGAAGCTTCAGTGCAAAATGGAAAGCTTCATGGAGGCCCAGCTGTGATTCTGTGAACCTAGGCAGAAGTGCTATAGAAGAGAGCTGTGTCCTTTTATAGTTAGCGTAACTGCTGCATCTAGTCTGTACTAGTGTACTGTGCCGTATAACCCCTGGTGCAGCAAGGACTCAGAGCAGGCTGAAGCTGCAGCTCCCTCTGTATTAGGAAAAAGACCTGCCCTAATACTATTTAAATTTTGTCAGCTACTTGCTGAGAGTAGTGAGGGTTTTAGAGGTGGCAGTTTCTGAAATCAGCCATCTTGGTACTGCTGATCCCTTGGTCTGAACCAGCTTTGTACTATTGTATTTTCTCAAACACGTTGTGACTGAAAGTTCCTGCAGGTGGCAAAATAATAGTCTCGAGCTCTGCTCTCCAAGCAGATCTGGGGTGGTGTGTTTATAGCTGAGTAATCTCTTTTGTTTGTGGCAGGGCATGTATGGCATTGATAATGATGTCTTCTTGAGCCTTCCTGCTGTCCTGAGTAGCTCTGGATTGACAAGTGTCATCAACCAAAAGCTGAAGGATGATGAGGTGGCTCAGTTGAAAAAGAGTGCGGATACATTGTGGAGCATCCAGAAAGATCTTAAAGATCTGTAATCTATGAATGTTAGGTATGTTCCAGAAATAGAAAAACAGTGTGTTATGTGCAAAGTGGGCTCTACTCACTGTACATCATTATGGTTTAAACATTTAATGCTGTTCCAAAATGAGCTTTGTTCACAGTAGCTAAACTTACGTTTGCTGTAACGCACAGACCTTATGAACAAATAAAGTAACTTTCAGGCATGTTTTGTTGTCCTGGTGATTTATTTTGCAGTACCTTAATTACCTGCCTTACTCTAACATTCTGCTTTATTGTATGCCCCAGCCTACATGGAAGTGTTTAAAAGGTTAGAAACAAGGCAGTAATCACTTGTGGTGGGATTTCACTAATACAGTCTTACTGGAAATGATTTCTGTATGATTTAGTTTCAGCCCAGGTTCGAAGTGTAGTTCATTACAAGACTTTTTTTCTGATAAAGTACTTCCTGTTTTTTCTCTGATGGATAGAGGAAATGGAATGGGGATTTGCCTCTGGGCCACCTGCCCAAAGCATGCCAACATTAAGATTCTGTATGCTACTAGCCTAGAAAAAGGGACCTCTAGATGCTTCTCTTCTGCTTTCAGTTCTTTGCCTCTCACTGGTGTCTAGTTTTCATAATGTTCAAAGCAAACAAAATTATTTTCTATTTGATTACCACAATCCAATCTTTTTAGAGTTAAAAAGACTGGAGTCCCATGCTAATCTTGTTTATAGAACAAGTCAAATTGGGCCTTTAATCTCTAAATTTCAGCAAGTTTGTTTCACAAGTGCTTATATACCTGGGGGGAGGGTGGAGTGCGAGGGAGAGAACAGATTAAAAAAAATAAAGCCCAAAGTTTTATTTCTCCATCACTTAACAATTACAGAATAGATATTAACTGTGAAATAGCCAGTACTTGCTTGGCATGCTTAGAACTGCTCAACCTAAACATCATGGGGACAAACAGTATCTATTCCCTCTATCTTGTATCATGATTCAGGGACCTGCAAGTCTCGTCTTGTATCAAGTGGTCCGAGATGAAGTTGGAGCAATGTCAAGGCCTTTTCTAGCTCCATTAAAATGCTTTGAGTAGTGAACTAAAACACTTTCACAATCAAGTAGCCTAATTTTTGTAGTTTCTTTTAAAAGAAAAGATCATGCAAATTTTGTCATACTGCAAGAAAACTCCTTTGATTTAGTAAGTATCCTGTAGCTAATGAAATAGCATGAGTGGGCTGTTAGTGATAACATGATTTATATAGGATCTTTGGAGGTGTCTTGCCCCACGTCACATGCTAAATGCCAGGACAGGAGAAAGAAAATCATAGTCTCTGCTTTCAGAATTTGGTGTGGAGATCTTGCCCTGGAAGGCTTTCTACACCTGGAGAGATGAGCTGAGAACTGTCGATGATCCACTGTCATGAGGTAAATGGCATGAGCTGCTGCTCTTTGCAGCACACACCCATTGGCAGTTTTCACCTGAATGCATTTAGCTGGCTGGCTACCTTGCACAGTTCCTTCCTGACTTTGTTCTTACACTGTCCTCAGTTAATGAAATAATTAAAAGTTATGTTGTGTGATATTATCTTGCAGGATTCTTGAGACCGATATGCGTGAGGAGGCATCAGTTGTCTTAGAGGATAGGGGATGGGCTCTTTTCCAATCTGATACTGAATTTTGTTTTTTTTATCTTTAAAGATTACACAGCTACAGTAAGACTGGCTTTTGTCCCTGATTGCATTAGTGTGCATTCCTCACACGTTAAAGTGTGGAGCCATACCTTGTTCTATGTTCAACAAACTTGAGACCCCAAAGTAGGTTGGGACATCTTGAATTGAGCATGTTTATAAGTGCTTGAGTGAGAAGCTGCTGTCACCTAGTGTCTGTTAACTGTTCCTTCAATTCCCTCGAGTCAACAGAGGCTTGTTGCCTATTTTTTTGTTTGTTAATGGTCATAGACTTAACAACAGGATAAGAACCTTTATGCCCAGATATTGAGGAACTGAAGAGCTAATGACAAACTACTACAAAAAAATGTGGTCTGTTATAAAATAAGGTGAGTGGATACAGATGAAGCAAGGAACTGAAAGAATAATGAAAGATCACTGTTGCGCGTGATGAGCATTTTTCTTAGTGCATTGGCAGCCTCGCTGTATCAACTTCTACTTTTGGAGAGATGACTCTTTTCAGTGGTGCCCAGCGACAGGATGAGGAGCAATGGCCATAAGCTGAAACACAAGAAGTTTCACCTCAGCATGAGGAAGAACTTCTTTACATTGAGGGTGGCAGAATACTGGAACAGGCTGTTCAGGGGGGTTGTGGAGTCTCCCTCTTTGAACATCCTCAAAACCCACCTGGACATGTTCCTGTGTAACCTGCTGTAGGTGGCCCTGCCTTGGCAGTGGCTTGGACTGGATGATCTCCAGAGGTCACTGCCATCCCTAATGATTCCGTGACTCGCTTGAGGTAGACTATTTTAATTGCTATAAGGACCTAGACTACCTTGCGTTTGCAGGTATATAGATCCTGGCTCCAGAATAGAAACTCTGACTACCTTGCAAATGTCAGACAAGAGACACACAGATAACTGACAGACCAGTGACATAGGAGAGATACTACTGGCATGGTTATGGCAGAAGACTGGAACTCAGTCCTCTGAGTTATGCTGATATGTGCTATTACCACAGTATTTCTATCATGGCTTTCCCAAGAAATGTATGTGAAGAAGAGTTTTCCACCTGAACATCCAGAACATTGAGATGAGTAGCATCTTTTGCTTTATTATCGGTCTACGTAGCCCCTGTCTGCAAGAGGTGGGCTTGTTCTGAGGTCCAATAGAGTGTTAAATCAGCTGGATTTTTTATTAGTCAAAGGATAAAAATGGTGCAGGGAATGGAAGGCACCTTTAAACAGTGAAATAGTGTTAGAACATTTAGGTGTAGAACAGTGGAAATGCTTTATATATGCATTTTGCTAGGCTGGTAGTGCTTATATGACTTTCATACTAGCTAACTTAGAACTGTGTTTTATAAGTATGTGACTTAATGTCTTAAGTTGCTCACAGAATTTCTGTTGTCATTGTGTTTACCCACTTCATGTCAGCCTTGTGCTGCAAAGAAATGCTGATTTCCCCAGTTTACAGATACAAATTGGAACAATTAAGCCATAATTTCTCAGTGGACTGTAGATCCTGAACTCTCACTGATACCAGTATGGCCAGGAGCCCAAAATCATTTAAGAGTCAGATCCTTATATATGCTCCATACTGACACCATAGTGTAATGGCCTCCCAGGACAATGTCTAATTGTGGATGTTTCTTTTTTGCAATGAATAGTTCTCTAATGCACGTTAAACTTTCGAAATCATAAAACTTTTCAAAGCACGAAAGCTCTCAAAGCTTTTCAGAGACTCCAGTAGTAACAGCTTTCCTAAAATATACATTGATCACGGTGGTGTACTACATTTTTATAAACTGTTGCTGAGATACCATTGCTATGTGAGTTATTATTCTGTGCAAGCAAAGGAGTTGTGCAAATAATTAACTTGGATTGGTCTATTGGAGAGGTCAGACTCAGGAGGGCTGGATTTGCTCTGTGTCTGAAATGAATAATTTACCTGCAAACATAAACAGCAAAGCACAGTCTGGCCCAGGCAATGGCTATGCAAAGTTAATTTTCTAAGTAAATATTTTCTCCCTTATGCTCTCCTCTTTAATAGCTCTTCCACGTTATTTAGACATGTTTACACATTCAATATCTGAGCTAAAAATCCAGAAAATTTGACAAAATAGCATGAAGGTGGATTTCTAGCAGCATTAATTTCTGGAGGGGAAATTCGTAATTCTTGGTCTGTGAGATATGCTAAATGAAAATATGAAGGGAAGAAAAGACACATTTTGCTTGAGATAGTTTTCTCCGTGCTGCTAATCCTGTGTTTCAGACTATAAGAAATGCAATGATTTCCAAACTCTTTGTTCAGCAGTCTCCACCAGTAGATACTGGAATACTTTCCCAGTCCCTGATACTCTCAGGCCAAAGACCAGTCTACAGGAGTATTTGTTGATCTCCTGTTTGTTTTCCAGATTATCTTCCTCATAGAAAATTGTTGTGCAGTAGAAAGAAATAAGTATTTTTAAAATTACTTCTGTAAGAGACTCAACTCTTGTACCAAGGTTAGAGTGCTTAATAACACGTGATTTTCTGGTCTACAGTATTAGGAAAGTAAAATCAGATTGATAAGCACTTCTAATCCATCAAAATTAATTGATGGAGGGGTGTCTATCCCTATCAACAGATTTTTCCGGAGCTCCCTTGGGTAAGCGATTTACCGTAAGTGTTGAATGGAGCAAACTCGTGGCCATGTCTCAACTAGAGAGAGAAGGGTAGTGAGCTAACAGACATGTGTCTCCTACCTCCTCAGAACAGGTCCTGATTGTATCAGTTACTGGGACCTGTGTGTAAATCTCCCAGATTTTTTTCCAGGCACATTTACAACAAATTTGACTAGAGTTTGATCATACGCTGAATGCCAAATGCTTTAAGTGTAACTAAAAATTCTAAAAATTCTCAACATCTCAAGCAGTCTTATGCATACCTGTACATTCCTTCTGCATTTCTTAGTTCTTATTTATTAAGGAATGTCTGTCCATCACAATCCAGCTCTCCCACTGGGTTTCAGACCGAACAACAGTTTGGCAGGTGATCAGCAGAGCTAAGATGTCTGATCAAAAAGCCTCCAAAAAAACAGGAGAATGATGCTGATGAACACTTTAGGCATATCACTTAGGCAGGTTTGCTCTATTATCCTTATTTTCTCTACCTCTTTGGGATTTATAATGAGGTTTACTAGATTCTGAAGCCAAATATATTAAGACTTTTTTTCTCTTTAGAAGTGTTCAAAACAAGTGCAGCTGATACCTTACTGTGGTTGTGAAACATGAAACTAAACCATAGAATCATATAAAATAGACATTTCAACCTTAAAATTCTAGAAAACTTTTTTTTTTTTTTTAATTAAGTAAAATTCTGTGGTTTTTTTTCTAAAATATTACTAGGGAAGTTCATCAGTGCACCTAAATCGCAAAGGTAGTAAACAGTGAGGCCTTCCAGTTGGGTCAAAAAGACAACTACATCACATGGAGATCAAAGTAATACATTTAAGAGTTAGGTAACTGAAGACAGGAAATGCCACAATGAACTACAAAAGGGGATAAGAAAAAGGGAAAAACTGGGGTGAAGAGAAAAAGAAATACGGTGTTTTCATACTTCCTTCTTAAAGTCAACAGCATCCTCAATAATGTCTGTAATGTGTCCTTTTAGAAGAGTGGATATTACTTGTAGGGATACAAAATAAAGCTCAGCCTTTAAGTTCCCTTAAGTTTCTTCATAAGGGTTGCACTAGTCTTGGCAGCTCACACTGCCAGGAGCTTGTTTTATTAAGAATCCCGTCTTTGCTTGTTTCCTCTCTTCCTGTGTCTCAGCCTGAGCAAAGAGCTTTTCTTCCAGATGGAGATCCCCTATTTTGCTGAATGAGTTGTGGTTCTGTTTCCACGGGCTTCATAAAACAGGTTTATCACGAAGCAGGATTTAGTAAAAGGGGTAGAACAGCCTTTGGTCAAATAAACCAACTCAGGCACTGGAGAACTCATGTTAATACTATCAGTGCCACCTA